CTCTTCTATTATACTCCATGACCCTTCCAACCCTCAACTCCCCTCCATTCCCTCAATAGTCCCTCCCCACCCTGCACGCCCCTCCATTACCTCCATTCCCCTTCATGGTCCCTCTGGTCCTCCACACTCCTCCATTTTGGCCTCCTCTTGACCCAGCCCCAGCTCCTCCACACTCGGTGATGTCATCAGCGTGGCCCCTGTAACCTCACAAAGCAGATCCCCTGCTGTTGCTAGGCAACCGAATGTGCACTTCAGTGCTGAGCTGCAGGGCCAGGCGGCCCTGAGCAGGAGCAGCCCTGTCACCTGGCGGTGCTGTCCAGGTACAGTGCGGCCTTTGAGCAGCAGAGTTCAGGTCAGGAGAGCCCGGACGTGGTGGAACCAGCAGCTGTGCAGGACACAGGTGACCAGAAACCCATCAGTCCCTCTGGGTTCCCCTCGCTCCTTCTTCAACCCTCCTCTCCACCACCATCCCTGTCCCCCATCACCCCCTCTACCTATCTTTACCCGCTTTTCCACAGACCTAGTGGGTTGCTGATCCCCCCAACCGTGGTCTCTCCCTACCTTCCACCTATCAGGAAGCTTCACGTGGAGGATCGGGACCCCATGGCGTTGTCTCTGGCTGTAAAACGCCTCCAGAAGGAGCTCCTCAACCTTTCTCGAGACCCCCCAAAGCTGTGCTCTGCAGGGCCAGTGGAAGACGATATGTTCCATTGGCAGGGATATATAATAGGGCCCAAGGACAGCCCCTACCAGGGAGGAGTCTTCATCCTTAGTATCCGATTCCCGAAGGAGTACCCCTTAAAACCACCGAAGGTCCTATTTAAAACCCAAATTTATCATCCCAGCGTAAATCATAATGGGTATGTCAGCCTGCCCATCCTTAATTCCCAGTGGTCCCCGGCATACACAGTCTCCAAAATATTGCTGTCAATCAGTGCCATGCTGTGTGATCCCAGACCACAAGATATCCTAGTTCCAGAAATGTGGAAGATGTACATAAGTGATAAGCCAAAGTATGATGTCTTGGCTCGAGCATGGACTAGGAAGTATGCTATGTAATTTAAAAATAAATGATAATACCATCACCTTAATAAAACAATTAGTTCAATTGGTTGTCTTTTGACTGCTATCTATTAAGCGACGTTTCTCCATGTTTCTGGGCACAGGTTGTACACCTTCCACATCAGGGTGTGTGTGGAGGGGGTGGAAGGAGGCATGGGAGTAGGGGCAAGGTTGGGGGATGGGTAAGTGTGAGACAGACTAGTTTTAATGTCCATTTTACTAAAAGCTTTCTTTACTGATTTAAGATTGGGAAAGCAAAAGCAAGGGGGTTTGTCTTTAGGATGAGGAGAGCAGTTCTGTCAATCAGTGGGATAATTTTTAATGAGGAGTCCCTTAGAACTGAAAATGCTGAGGAAAAACTGGATGAAGATTACAAAGCTAATTAGATATATATATTTTATTCAGGTGTTTTTTTTTTCTTACTGACCAAGTTTAATATTAACCCATATCATCTCCTTTCTCCTCTAAATTTAACTGGACAAAAATTAAGTGGATTAAGAGTTGTTACAAAATAAAATGATGTGTTTTGTTCCCAGACTTCATCTCCTGCACCTTCAATCCCCACCCTTTTGACCACTCTGCCTCTCCCAACTCTGGGTTGTTTCCTTTTTCTCAAGACATACCTCCATTGACATAAGAAATTCAACCTGTACAGAATTTTTATAAAAACTTATTTGAGCCAAACAGAGAATACGCCTGGAAGCAAGATCTTAACAGACTGAAAGACATGCTTCTCATAATAACAGTCAGCAGATTCTTTTATACATTTTAAATTAAGGAGGGAACATAAGGAAGATTTCTCCCACCACGAAGGTGATAAGAAGAAAGACAGGGAGTGGATTACAGGATAGTTGCCAACATTATGCGCTCTCTTGAGGGTGGGAACCCACATTTCAAAAGTGTGTTAACCTAGATGCATAAGAACAATGGATAGGGATTTCTTAAGGCAAACACAAACCTTTTACTCAAAAAGTTATAAACCTGTGGTATGATAATTCACCATGACCTGTGCAGTTAGGAATTATGACCAGATCACCCTGTGAGATTATTTTCCATAGAACCCCTTTTGGCATCTGCACCTACTAGCTCTAAGAGATTTGAGTGATGCAGCTACAAACTGAGGGGCAACAAAGATTGCTGGGAACCGCCAAAGCTAGGAGTTGGTCAGGACAGATTCACCCCTAGAGCCTTCACGAGAGAGCAGGGCCTTGATGACACCTGATTTCTGACTTCTCGCCTCCAGAACTGTGAGAAAGTAAATTCCTATTGTGAGTGATTCAGTTTGTGGTACTTTGTTATTGTAGCCATAGGATACTTAAAAAGATGTGTCTGTAAATTAATTCACATTAACTATTTTACTCACATAACTTTTATTTCAGTGGTTAGAATTCACACACATGAATTAATCCTGCTTTCGGATTAAAGTGTATATATAAATATAGACAGAAGTATAGCTATAAGTATAGATAGACGAAGAGATAGAGCTAGGATAAAGATGATAGAGATGATAGAGATAGAGCTAGAGCTGGAGCTAGAGATGACAGAGATAGAAATAAAGATATATCTTAATCTGAAAGCAGAATTATTGAATCCATCCAACATGACCTTGCATTTCTTACTTAACTTCTTGAGAAATGTAATCATTGCCACAAAAGATTTTTAACCTCACCTTTTCAGACAGGACTGAAGAATACAAACTTCCTGAGAGTGAAATAAGTTCATTCATTTTACACAAAGCAATTGAGAACATGTCCTAATATAACACATCATAAAATATTTGTAACTTCACTACAGCATTCAAAATACAAACTCAAGCAGTCTTTCTTTTCCTTTTCTTCTCTTCCATATTCCCTGGTTTGTTACTGAAGCTACAGGTTGTAAGACTGGTAAACATGAATGAGTGGTAAGGGACCGGGTGCTCTGCATTCTTCAGATGGTCACTGTCACAAAAGACACAGAAATGCTGTGGCAATGTTCCAGACTCAAGGAGACTAAATAGACAGAACAACTAAAGGCAATATAGCTGACCCTAGATTGTATCCTGTACTGGAAAGGTTTTAAATAAGTTTTAAGAATCCTATTTGTCAATGGACACAACTGGAATACAGATATGAAATTATTGTATCAATATTAAATTTACTGCTTAATTTATACCACATAAACTATTAGTTTCTTGTCCTTCCTGCTTTCTTGTCAGGTATTCCAAAACTAAATTGGTTTTAACTCCAGACTGAATCTTTGAAGGCTTTAACTCTTCACACAATGTAAATTTATCAAAATGTTATGAAAAGTTATGAGAAGTATTATGTTATGTCAGATAAAAGTTAAAGTGGCTTTGACCCGCCATTGAGGGTTTGTCAAATGAGGAATAACACAATGTATTCCCACTATATTCCTTTTTGTTTTTATTGTGTGTAATATCTTGTATCATATAATGTTTCTAAGTTAAATTTTAGATTAGAAGAAAAATTGAGAATTATAACTTCTTTAAACCAATCATAGTGTATAAATTATGCCATTCATCCTTTAATGAATGCATGCACTCATCTGAAAATACTGAGTAGCTAGTATACACTAGGGAGTAACTGGACAAAAGTGATCAAGGCCATTCCTTCTTCAAAGAGCTATCAGACTGGTTAAGAGAATGAACATTTAAATAGACAATGGCAACAGAATATAATACATGCTATATTGTAGGTACACAAATGATTATGTGTAGTAAACAAAGGTAAAGTTGAATTCTCCCTGGGAAAGATGAAATAGGGCAGCTCTTAAATTTAGAATTCACCCTGCAGGCAGAGCAGCTATTGAAATCTATGATAGGAATTGATTTATGCTTTAGGGAGATCATTCTACATGGCAATGCTGAGGATGGATTTGAGGGTGGCAATATTGGCAAAACAGACACTCATTGAAATACGTTATTGCAGTCCTGTGTCAAATGATCAGTCATATCCTGAATTAGAGCCATCACACTGGGAATAGAGTCAGATGAATGTGAAAGGTATTTTCCACAGGATTTGGTCAATGAAAGGGTGAAGGAATCATGAGAACCCTTTTTCCTATGGAAGACTTACACAGGATTACATTGTCCTGATACCCAACCCAATCAAAAAGGTTGGTGTTAATTGCATTTGATCTTGCAAAATAACTTTCAAGTCTCATCACCTTGGAAAAAGAATTTCAGAAGCTTTCCGCAACATTGGGCAATGTTATATGTGTTTCCTATGTAAGGAACTCGCCCTGGTTTTCTTTTCCAATTTTCTTACAAGTGTTCTGTTATTTTAAATGAAGATGTTAAAATTTGATACTCATCACAGTAACAAGGATAGTTTATCTGTTCAGAAGCACACAAGTCAGTTCTTGTTTTTGTTTTTTGTTTTTTAAACAAGTAACCAGTTCTTTTTTTTTCTTTTTTTTTAATATATCTTTATTGATTTCCGAGAGAGGAAAGGAGAGCGATAGAGAGATAGAAACATCAATGATGAGAGTCATTGATCTGCTGCAGCCTGCAACAGGGGCATGTGCCCTGACCGGGAATCGAACCCCGATCACCTGGCTCAACCGCTGAGCTACGCTCGGCCGGGCAGTTCTTGTTTTCAACCACATAACACAAGAGATTTAGAAAAATTTCTTTCAATGAGTTAGACATTTCATGTTATATTATTACAGGACCCAATCAGCCATTTAAGTTCTCCCTCTTTAAACCGCTATCAAATAATTATTTTGCCTTTCTAAATTGTTTGAATAAGTGAATTAGATTACTAATTTGATATGAGGACATTTTCACAATTGAAGTATGTCCAGTATATCTCAAATAAAACAGTGTCCTCCCGTATCTAATGTGATTTCTTACCAAAATGTATTATTTTATTTCATGAAAAAAAAATTGATACAGGATGGCAGTAGACTAAGTGGGACCTACACTGACATTCTCCCAAAACCAAACTGGAATTGTAACTAAAATATAGAAAAACCATCCTGAATGATCAACTGCAACTGAAGACAACCTGGAGAGCACCCTCATAACAAAGGAGGAAAAATGGAGACCGAATAGAGACTGGTAGGCAGTGCAGAGACACTAGAGGGCTGCCTGGGCTCCCACAGGAGCAGCTGAAGGTCCCTGGGGATATCTCAGCTGTGGGGGGTTCCCACTGAGGACTCTGGGGCCTAAACCCCAGGCTGGGCTTCCCAGCCAAGAGCATCAGAACTGAGAAAGGTGCCCACATAACATCTGGCTGTGAAAAGCAGCAGGGTTTGTCTCTGCCAGGGAGAGATGGCTAGAAATGTAGGCACCCTCCTAAAGAGCCAACACACACAGTTTCCTGTGCAGCCACTCACCTTGGGCTCCAGCAGAGGGAGGGCAGAGTGGACTAGAGCCCAGTGAAGAGAATCTAGGATTGTAGGCTCCCGAGATAGAGCTCAGAGGACACCCCTCTGTCATCCCCCTATACTGCAGAGGCAGACATTTACCTTCCAAGCAGCTTTTGCCAGAGGGGGAAGCAATTGCCCTGCTCTGCTGGAAATCCTCTTGCCCTACCCATAGGAGTTTCTACAGCCTGAGGCTCATTAAGGGATCAGATTAATCAGCCTGCAGGCAGAGGCAGACCTCAGAGTGCTTTGAGTCTCTGCCTGATCTGCTTCTGGACCCAGGCCTTGGAAAAGCAGACTTTGGTGTGCCTCTTCATTGTGCCCAAATGCACCCAGCCCCAACAAAGGGGACCTCAAGCTGCGGGATTTGGTAGCGCCAAACAAGGTACTCAAGGCCAGTCACAGACAGCGTCTGACATTGGCCTGCACCAGAGGCCTGGTGGGTTGCTGCTCCCCCTAACCGTGGTCTCCTCCTACCTTCCACTTATCAGGGAACCTCGCAAAGAGGATCAGGGCCATGGCGCTGTCTCTGGCCCTAAAGCGCCTTGAAAAGGAGCTTCTTGATCTTTCTCGAGACCCCCTAGGCCTGTGCTCTGCAGGGCCAGTGGAAGACGATAGTTTCACAT